CTTAGTCAGCAGAAAATGTCCATTTTAGAGAATCCCTTTGCAATCCTGTCCTTTATTGCAGTATGGTGAGAGCTGCTGAGGTGTCTTGTTGCTTGCTGTCAGGAGCCATAACCCACTGCTGAGAAATGCCAGTCCTAAAGGGGAGGGAATCATATTTTTACTGTGGTTCTGAGGTCCAGTATTCCTTGTTATTTTAGAGAGTGGACCACCTTCTGAAACAAGAACGTCTCACAGATGCCCTGGCTCTTGCTTGGTCCTTCTATGAAGGTAAAGCAAAGGCTGTTGTAGGTAAGTTTGGGCTTTTTTGCTTTTAACTGAAACCTCTAGGGATAGTTTTAAATATCTGCAAATACAGGAATCACAATTTTAGGGGAAGAAAACAGAATTGAAGAAGACAAAATAGGATATGTTGCTTTGAGTTTGGCAGAAGCAACCTTTATATGGAGTAGTTTGATCTTTTTGGATGTTTTTTTTAACCGTAGTCCCTTTAGCAACTTGATTTCAAATGAAAGTCAGGCTTGATCTGTGTGTGACTCCATCCTGTTGTCACTGCCATGAAGGAGGTGGATCCTGATGTTGAATATCCAACCTGCTAAAATATTCCTGAAGGCCATGCATGACCTGTAGGTATATTTCAGTGTGATTCTCTGTCAGCTCTGCCAGGCAGGTGCTTTGATCCAGGTCTCTCCCCTGACTGTACAAGGAACTGAAAGAATCACACTGACTTTTGGCACCACATTTCCTATGAGGGAGGTTGCTTGAGAAGTATGTTAATTGTGCCAGGAACTGCCACTTGTGTGGTCAGATTTGTACTGGACACATTGATTTTACAGCAAATAGTTTCTGATGGCTTTGACAGATGAGATGCAAGTTCCCAGGACACAATTCTGCTGTGAAATTGCTGGTATATGAAGATGTGTTTTGTTTTGATGCATGGATATAGCCCAATAAAGAAGATAGTAATGCTTTGAATAATGAAAAACTGTCTTTTTGAGTCGACTTTTATGGTATTTTCCCCTTTTGGTGCACTTTATTCAGCTTCTTTGCATCAAGACCTCCATCAGTTACCCTCATGCACAGTCTTTGACAGCTCCCCATTAATTGTTCTCACAGTGTTAAACAGCAGTTGGAACTGTTCTTGCCCTTCCTGTGCTGGAACAGTCTTTGAGTGAAGAGTACAAACCTTTTAGAAGAAAAGGAGGCTAAAAGTAGAATACAAAATTGTGTATTTACACATCCTGACCTCTACATCTCAAGGGTAGTTGCGTTAGCATCTGAGCTGTGGCATTTTTTTATTTCTACTGGTAGCTTAGATGAGAAAAGCTTTGTTTTTCACCCCACTCCCTCATTCTTTCTAGGCTTGACTGGGGACACGAACAAGAGGAAAGCAGTCATTGCTGACAGAGTGAGTCCTTGAGCTCTTCCCAGATGGATTTTTATGTGTGCTGGTGTGATACTGTGTTCCTGAAAGGAAAGGCTTCTGTTGAGTTAATCCAACTCACTCTAGAACATGTACATGTTCCTCTCTTGCTAAAATTTGGAGCAGAATTTTAGAAAAAACTTGGAAATACCATTTGGGTAAAGGTAGGGATAAAATGTGCAGCATTAGCCGTCCAAAAGGAGACATCATCATCCAGGCCTGGAGATCTCTAGTCCCCTCACAGTGAAGAGAAACCTTTTGTGTAGGTGACTGTGGAGTTCCCTGACCTTTGTTTGGCATATGTCCAGTAGTATGTGATTTGCTGACTCTCAGGATGGAAAATGTGCTCTGTGTTTATGGGGACATAACACATGAATGAACTCTTAAACTGATCTAGTTCAGTTGTTATAGGAACTTGCTTGTGAGAGGGGTGTGTTTAAAATACACACTTACTGCAGTAATTGTTTAGCTGTGCTCTGTTCTTATTATATTTGCAGATAGCTATGTTTTGCTGTGTAATCTACTTTTAAGTTAAGCTTTGGGTAAAGTCATGGCCTAGATGAGCCTTGTGCTTCAGGATGTGTTCACCACTCTAAAAACTGGCTGTTGGGCTGGCTGCCCAGCTCCAAGGTCAGTTAAAGTTAGTGTAGTCAGTATCCCTCTGGGCACTTCTGTGCTATTGTAACATCACTATCTCTAGGCAGCCTCTTCTCTGCTCCTTCCTGCTCACAGCACTTCATACCCAAAATGGGACAGCAGAGTTTACAGTGCTGCCAACCTCCAAGCCAGTCTGAAATGTGCTACCAAGCAAGGCCTCAGTATAGGATTTGAATGTGTTTTCTTATTTATTGTAATGCAGATGGTTGAAATCCTTCTCCATTACACTGATCGGGCTCTGAAGAAATGTCCTGACCAAGGAAAAATCCAGGTTATGGAGCAGCACTTTCAGGTACAAT